CCTGATTTACTTATTTTCAGTGTGTGTTTGCCTTAACTTACTTCAGGTTTGACAAGGTTAGAAAATGTAACTACATTTAAAGAGTCCAAGAGGTTGCTAAAAATTGACTGAGGATAATCAATTATCATGTAAAAAAGGAGCAAGTCCTCACTATGACAGTATTATTTAGTCATGGGTAAACCATAGTCAACAGTTACAAGTCAAGTTTAAATGGCATGACGCATTGACATGAAGATGAAGTCCTTCAGGAGAGCCAAGAACAGACAGAGAGTGGCAAGACAGCAGAGCCCATGGTGGCTGTATTCCAGTTGGCAGTATTAGAAAATAGAAGAGCTCAAAATAAAAAGACAAACCGGAACAAACATAGGAAATTCCTTTTGAGTCTGATTTGTACTTGTATTCTTTTTCTGGTACAAAGTGCTAGCATAGTTTCTCTCATCTGCTTTTCACTACTGCTGATCACAACCCTAAGGCATCGAAAATTTTATTGGAAATTACTACAGCATCATCAAAAAAAATTCCCGAGTTCCTAGTTATTCTATCAAAAGGCAACGATCAGAGTCAATCACATAATGTCCCACTGACTTCCTAACCTTTCTAGAGGTCTCCACACTGAGAAGCCCAGCTAAGGCAACTCTGCATGAGCCGTATTCCTGAGCTCGAGGTATTGCTAATATTCTCTCTGTAAAGCAGGTTTCTACTGCTTACAGTGAATTAGAATCCTCTGCAATCTCAGAAGAGAGTGGTAAACTTGGTTCATCATTTTCAAAGCTTTGCATGAGGTTTAATTGCCTGACATTGTGGCTCAAATTCATCTATTGGTTTAATAGTAAAATGCCTTTAGTCATAAATAAATAACCATACTGTTGTTTGAACAAGCCTTTTCTCTGTGAATGCAACACACTGTCATCCAAAAAAATCCCAAATAATATTAATCCTTTGCTACTGCCCAAGTGCTTTTCTCCCAACGTTTTATAACATGTTCAGGCACATTAGTGCATTCAGTTTCACAACTTGCTTTTCTCATAGTCATGTGGATTATATAACTTTGGCCTGACTTTCTCAAGCTCACACAGACGAAAGTGGAAGAACCAGGAATATCCAACGCCTCTGAGTTAGAATAGAATAGAATAGAATAGAATAGAATAGAATAGAATAGAATAGAATAGAATAGAATAGAATAGAATAGAATAGAATAGAATAGAATAGAATAGAATAGAATAGAATAGAATAGAATAGAATAGAATAGAATAGAATAGAATAGAATAGAATAGAATAGAATAGAATAGAATAGAATAGAATAGAATAGAACAGAATAGAATAGAATAGAATAGAATATTTCAGTTGGTTCTGTCTTGGGTTCTTTAACTACAGCACACCTTATTCCTTGTGTACATGTATAAATATGTACAGAGAGAAAATATATGCAGAATATACATACCAACCCTGTCACAATAAAATATTATCATAGAATCATAGAATATCTCAAGTTGAAAGGGACCCGTAAGGATCATTGAGTCCAATCCCCTGCTCCTTGCAGGACTACCTAAAACTAAACCATATGACTAAGTGCATCATCCAGATACTCCTTGAACTCTGACAGGCCTGGTGCTGTGACTACTTCCCTGGGGAGCCTGTTCCAGTGACCTACCACTCTCTCAGTGAAGAACCTTTTCCTAATGTCCAATCTGAACTTCCTGTGATGCAGCATCATTCCATTTCCATGTGTCCCATGATCAGCACCTCACCCTCTGCTGCCTGCCTTGAGGAAGTTGTAGGCTTCAATGAGGCCACCTCTCAGTCTTCTCCAAGCTGAACAAACCAAGTGACCTCAGCTGCTCCTCATAACTCTTGCCCTGGAGATCTTCCACCATCTTGGTCGCCCTCCTCTGGACACACTGTAATAGTTTGATGTCCTTCTTATATGGAAGCACCCAAAACTGCACACAGTATGGCATCCAATCATTATTACCCAGCTGGACTGAGTTGAACTCAAAGTACAGACCCTGCCTACAAGAGGCAGGCCATTTCCTCCTGGCTGCAGAAGATGCAACAGCATCCTTGGTGCTGCAGCCCAGGCTGGTGAGCAACACACACAGTACTCGAGATGGGGCCACACCAATGCAGTGTAGAGCAGGACAATCACCTCCCTCGACCAGCTAGCTATGCTGTGCTGGATGCACCCCGGGACACTGTTGGCCCTGTTGGCTGCCAGGGCACACTGTTGACTTGCATTCAACTTGCCATCAACCCAAACCCCCAGATCTCTTTCTGCTGGGCTGCTCTCCAGCCTCTCATCCCTCAAGTTGTACGTATAATCAGGATTTCCCCATCCCAGGTGTAGAATCTGGCACTTTGCTTTTTTAAATTTCATACAGTTGGTGATTGCCCAGCTCTCCAGTCTATTCAGATCTCTCTGTAAATCCTCTCTACCCTTGAGAGAGCTCATAGCTCTCCCTAATTTTGTATCACCAGCAAGCTTACTTCATGTACATTCAACTCCTACATCCAGATCATTAGTTCAGGTAGGCCCTCAGATACTTTAACAACTATGGAACACAGTAGTCACCTCTGGGTTTTGAGAACCCAGGACCTTAGGGCTTGCAGATTAGATCATTCACTATTCTTTGAATTTCAACTGGGAAATACCTTAGGTAATATACATGTATATGGCACTACATAAAGGTGATTTGGAAGGGTGTGTGTCCTGTCCTTGGAAAACAGTAAAGAATAGCAGAACTACCCAAACTGGTGGGTTCTAATGCTGAATGAATTTGTAATTTACTTGTTTCTCCTTTGGTCATATGCAAGGCTAATATAACCTGTGTATTACATTCCTTTTTGGCTAGCAAAGATTGTACAATGAAAATAGAAATTCTTCTCCAATTGAAATCAATGGCAAAAAATCCACTGTCTCTAATAGGAGCAGAATTACAGCATTTTTGAAAAAATAAGTGACTTACTCTTTTATCTTTGAAAGTAAATTATCAAAACCCTAGCTTTTTAAACTAGTTAACACACACTTGTTACAAGTTAAAATTATCATTGATGGTATCTTCTAGACCCTTTCTGTGAGCTTTCCAGATCTCATAAATTTTTCCTTATACAAAATTTTCCTTTTAATCCTATTCAATCATTATAGAGAGAAATTATATTATTAATCTGCTTTATCAAGCCTGACTGAATAGCACTTAATGACAGTGATGTCTCGAACAAAATTTTTTTTGAGATTTCTGCCTCAATGTTGAGAAATGCAAAACTATAAGCGAAAATGTGAAGCATGCCTTCAGTTGAAGGGAATCTGCAATGACAGAATTGGGAATGAAACTCCAAAACTTCACAGAAAACCTGAGTGAAAATTTACAAGCAGATGTGATAGTTCTGAGCTGAAATCTCCTCTGCCTGTGGGAAAGGGACACAGGGAGCCTTACCCACTGGTTTTTTATTTGTTATTTCAGTAAATGAGCTCTAGTAGCAGTTACCAGTTGTATGTCCTGGTACGTCCTGAGCCATCCAGTGCCATGGTCTACCTGACCCAGCCCTCTCTGTAATGGGATTGCTATTAAGCCCACATCCCAAGCTTAGTATGAAGGTAAATAATGCAAAAAAAATTAACCATATTAATGGTTAAACTAATTGATTCAATGGGCCTAACAGAGTAAAAATACATCTCAAGGCTTATGCTTAGCTATATACATGAACTACTTTAGTTGGAGGGAGATAAACTATGTATCAAAGCACCTCTTCAAATGAGATACTGAAGTTTCAAAATTTTGGAGGGCAAATGAGATGCACATGCAATATATTACATGGACTCTGAATGCTGTATAAAAACTACTTAATTTTTTTTCACTTTTTATGTAACAGCCAGGTCTGTTCTATGATTTACTCCTGTATCAAGGACAAGTAGAGCCTTTTGCTAGAAATATCATCTCAGTGCAAAAAGGACGTGGAAAAATCAGTTTAAAAACTATAACATTATTTCCCAATAGGCTTGTAGGCTTAGCTTTACTGAAAATAAGTAGCATAGATTTCTTAATAAAGGAATTTATGAGGTATCAAAGAAATCTTCTGACAGTATTACAAACACCCGGAGAAGGCCTTATTGCTTTCATACAACTACCATAGTTCCTACCACAACTGCTCCATCTGGAACTGTGTGCTGTTTCCATTGTTAAACTTTTCTGGAGAAGGAAAAAGAGACATCAAAGAATGTCATCGGTCTTTGATGCAGGTCACTAAAAAGAATAAACACCTATTCATATTAGCTGGTAGGGGGTGTTTCTGGTTTTGTTAATTAGTTTTTGCCTAATGCTTGACATAACAATTAGGAGACCAGTTTGGAAAGGGACATACATGAAAAAAGTATAGATACCTTCATGCTATCTCTTACAGAAGTGGGCTGTCTAAAATCTGAAACAGATTTTCCTGCATGTTCAGTGTAGCCACACCAACAGATGTACTTGTATTTACACCTGCACCCACAGAGATAACTGAATCGCATTCTTGCCCAGAGTTTCACCAGCTTGAGGACAACAATCTATGCATGATCCTTCAGTGGTTCCCACTGTAAGTTCAGGGCATTAAGTACATCAGCTATGCCTGAAAGTAGATGATTTGGATCACTGACTACTACCTTGCTAAACTTTCCTGAGGGGAAAAAAAAAAAAAAAGAGTAAAAAGGCATCTTTTGCTTGCAACATTGTTGGGGTTTTTTTATGTGTTGTTTACTCAAGCAGCTTAAAAGTAGGATTTTTTAAAAAAATTTTTTTATGAGTAATCATCCTCAGTCTGACTTCTCATTCCAGATTGTTCTTCTTGGATAATTTTGCTTATGGTTGAGTTATAAATTCCTGAAACATAAGGTTTGTGATAAAGATGCTGACAACTGTAACCATTGCCTAACCTACTGTTATGATCACCACTACAGCAACACAGCGGGATTTAAACTTAAGACCTTAAATGATGAAATAATTGTGTTTTTTTTTTTTGATTTGCAGTTTCTGCTTTGTGGCATATGTGGAATATTGTGCGCCAAAAAAAAATCTGGACTTGTTGTAAGTTTTTCCACTGCATATATAACACATAAGTATTTGAAAGACATACTTATCTAACTTGAACTCCTTACTGGTGGCCTTCTGTGTCCAAGTGTTTCTGATAAAAAGTCAGCAAAAATTGCAAGTCAGCAGTCCAAAAAAGCAATCAGCATTTCAGGTTAATCAAGCTAAACAAGGCAGTTCTGAAATGGCCTATTTAGGTCATGCCTATTTAAGCCACACATCTCTGTTTATCCCTGTCTGGATAAATACGGATAGAAAACCTGTTGACACAAATTTATGCCAAGTCAATAAAAAGTTCTCCAATTACTTCACTGGATTGTAACTTTTCTCCTTCAAAAACCCATTTTGTGAAGTTTGGCACAACTAGGCTGCCACCTCAATGAGGCTGCTGACCAAGTTTGATTCTAGGTGTTGTAGCTGTTTGCTGTTTTAATAAGTTCTTTTTGCAATCTGAATCATGAATAAGCCAGTTTTAAAGTGATGGCAGATGTTTTCTGCCTCTTCTAAGAATCAGAAGTACAGCCATTTTTCTGACTGCAGTAAAATGGTGTTATTACTACACAAGTCTCAGCAGAACTTTATGTGAAAGACACAATCCTATTGTAAGTGATAATGTCTGGCTTCATTTTCTGTCAGCTTGATTACTCTGCCATATACAGATGCAAGTCACGTAAAACCAGCATAAATGTGAAGGGAATCAAGAGCATTCTCAGATTATTTTTGAGTATGAATGAGTTAAACTCTGTTACAGTGAGTGTCTCATTTCTTAACGCATGTGGACCATAACTGGTTTCTAAAAGCTGTCTGTTCTGGTGGTCTCATGGAATTGTCACTTCCCAGTGGACCGCCGACATACTTACTGAATGAATGCCATGTTCGTGACGAAATTCTCATCCCAGTCATGGAGAAGTGGTCTACAAGACTCCATAAATTGTTCCTATCACAGTAGATGAGTACATATACAGTCATATTAAGTAACATCAAAGGCCCATCTAGATCAACATCTAACAGGCCAGCAGTATCAAAGCAAGTGAATAAGACAATAATTTAGCAGTGTCTCCACAATAAGGTCTTTTGCCCTTGAGTCATTTGTGGCTCAAGGACATTGTGAACCAAGGTGACATCTTTGTGATTAAAGTGATAGGAGGTCTTTAAATATGTCTCATTGATTGAAGCCTGTTTCACATCCTTCTAAAGTTCCCAGAAACATTTTAACCAAGCTAAAAACTGTCACCACACTGACCCTCAGTAGAGCTGCATCACAGATTTCTTTGTTGTTTCTGTTGCTTCTTTGTCCAGCACATTTGCCTTGAACACTTTTGAAGTCCCCACAAAAGCTGTAGGAAGCCTCCACACTGCTGTCTGACTGAAAAAAATTAAGATTGAACAAGAGGCAGAGTCAGATGGCACACAAAGCAAGAGAGATTGACTGTGAATAATTGAGGCGTTCGCTCCTGAGGAGTGGTCAGAAACTGCACAACAGAAAATTACAACACATTCTGTCATGTTACTGTTCTGAATGAAACACTGGAACTCAGAAGATTTGTGTCCTAGTAGTTCTTCCATTGACGAGTTTTTAACGCGAGCAACTCTTCCACCCAACTTTATTTTACATGCAACATCAATCTTAACTCTTGTACCCCAGCAGGTGTTGTATTCCCTTAGAGTCCTGTGGGAACTGAGGGAGTTAAAAATGAGTGTCTGTGAAGTGTTTTGCAATCCATGATGCTACTGAAGCATTGAATTATGGTCATTCCCATTTTTTATAAGAATGAATCTGTCTCTGAAAAATGTTACTGTGACATAATCTCTCTTGTCTTTCCTGACAGATGATACTTTTTTCTGCCTGTTGCATCTGTGGACTGATCGGAGGAATCTTAAATTTTCAATTTCTTCGTGCTCTGACAAAGAAGTCGTCTGCTCTCTATTCTTTGCATCTTGCCTCCATGTCTCTTGCATGCATTGGAATTGGTGGTTGCACCCTTTCTTCATGGCTCACTTGTCGGCTAGCCAGCTATGAACAAAGGCGAATGTTCTCAGAAAGAGAACATTCATTGCATCACTCCCATGAAATGGCAGAAAAAGTGAGTTGTGTGTCCTCCCTTATTTGTTCTGCTTCTCCTAAAATGCTACTGTATGTGTTAACGTTTACAATTGGCAAGAGATGTTGTCAGTTTTCAGTTTTATATGAGAAGGAGCTTCTGGGAAATGAAACATTGCCTTTCTGTGTAAGCTTTATTATGTTGCATTATATGGAGCTATTTTTAGGTACTGTATATTTGCAGTACATCCATTTCAATGAAGTACATCCATTTTCAACATAATTCCATTGTATAGCTATTCAAGGGCTTAGCTGCTAAATATAGTACTTCATAAATAATTGGAAGCCTTATTAATATGGATTATCATGTATTGTACTGTGAAAAAGCACAGAATGCTTTCTGTAACCACATCATCGCATGCTTCCAGGATTTAATCAATTTCTTCCTCTCCTAAGTACTCAGCTTATAAAGTAGGTTATTTAAACACAAAAGCCACAGTTCACAAACCCAGATGACTAAACCTAAGCACCTAAGGGCATATTTAGACACCTAAATGAAACTGGTCTGAATTGCAGCAACACCAAGCATTTACTGCCTTTCTCTGTTAAAAGGAAGCTTGCCAAGGTGTCTAGGTCTATGTTTAGGTGCTGAAACTTAAGCTCTCAAAGTTGAGCATGTAGGGCCAAAAGAATTAATTGAACAGAATTCTTGAAATCAGCTCCTTGGAGTAACAGATCTGATTCGTATTTGAGAAGTAAATGTTCACTGACACCCTGTGCTTTATGTTTGGACTTCTTATCTAATGCCTTTCATTTGAGAAATGAGTAGAGACGGGAACAAAAGTCAAGTGGACTGCCCATCTAAACCTCCACGTGCAAGTTTGCATTACAGTTAAGTTCAACAATCTATATCATATCTACTGAGACATATCTACTGAACAGCAGAGTGAGGATTAATTCATTCAGATTGTATAATGTTTTCCGATTCCCTGACAAAACATGATAGAGCAGTTAATTGTTCATTAAGTAAAAATTACTTGCAGCTGTTCTTTGGTTTCTTAACTGAGATGAGACTCCATGCAGAAATAGAGACTGAATTCACCTTAGAAGAAGCTAAACACTATGGGTTACCACAGTAACATAAAACAAGGTGATAAAATCAAGGGAAGAGATACATTTCTCCCTCTCATTTTAAATCAAAGCAGAATTCTGATGAGCTACATAGGCAAGTATGACCATCATCTTGGAGATAGTAGGCTAGATCTTGCCTTTCAAAGATGTTCTTGCCTCAACAAGGACAAAGATGAAGCCCATCCGAGAGAAAAAGAGCTAAAGAAAAAAGAAATGACCTGGGAAGAAAAACCTTTCAAATTACCAACCCTCCAATTTGGGCTGAAGATGATCAGGCATAGCATTTGTTCACCACATCCTTTCCTAGCCTGCTGACCTACTGAGCTTTTAGACACTTAGCAGTGAGGACTGCCAGGTGCCCATTTACCTTAGGTGAAGGGCCATGATGTACGTGCAGAGCAACCCTATTGCACATGCTCAGCAAATGTGGGATGCGCCTCACTGATGGTGGACTCCCTGCATGTGTGTTGTAGAATCAAGTATGCATGCATAGATGGTCTGATTCGGGACTTCTGAGACCTACAGCCTGTGGACTGCCTGCTGCTGGCAGGTTTGAGTAAATTAGCTCAAGGCATGCCCCTAAAAACTAACGAAGGCTACTTAAAAACTTGCATTAAATTAGTCCCTGATTTATAAAATAGCTTTAAAGTGATTTTTATATAAGACTATTTTGTATATTTATACTGATATACAGTAATATAGACATGTACTGCATGTGCATTTGTTTGTGCTGTATTTATTGTATAATTGTTATATTTATATTAGAGATTGAGGGGTATTGAAATAACCGACCTGCCCAGCTGCCCGGTGGTTCCCCCGACACCAGAGTTACCTCCAAGGTACGCTGAACACTAGGGAGCTACCATGTTGTTATGTCACTTCAGGAAGGGCCACCTCTAAGAGGAAGTCATAGTTTCAGCTGATCAAAGTTGGCTGATGCTGTGATGTCAGTCTGAGTCAGGAATGGTGCTTCCAGGTGGTGACATAATTCTACGTGGTGGACGCTGCAATCTGGAAGTAAGTTAAGTATTTAAAATATTCACCCTAGTAACAGACATCCAAATGTTCCTATTTGGATGTTGCCACCATTGACTCACTCTGCTTTCAATCTGTGTGCTCCTTCATTTCTTGAATACAGCAACGTTTTTTAATTTATTAATACTTTTATTTTTTAAAATAGAAATATTGGGGGAAATAAATGATTTTCAACATTTTCTGAAATTATTGTATTCTAATAGCTTATGTCTGCAGAGGATACAAGTGATAAAGCTGACAAAAGGAAACTTACACTTGCTCATGAGTAGTCTTCTGACACATTACTATCAAATTACGGCTGACTAATAGTTAATATTAAATAGCTTTAGTGTTCTTGGTCCCTTTCCAAGCTGACTGGTATCTTCAGCATAGATCCAACAAAGGGTTTAGGCACCTACAGATACGCAACCATAGTGCCTTGTTTAGGAGCAGGCAGCCCCTAGACCAGGATCCTGAGTTCAGGGTTCGGCATGTGTGTTACTCTTCAGTATATGAGGAGACTAAGGCACCATACATCCAATACCATCACATGCCAGATGGAGAGCTGAGTGGTAGAAAATGCTCAAAATTCAGTAAGTCTACACAGCTTCTTTTCTCTGAAACTTATCCTTGATTTAGGAGTATTAATTGGCAAATCTACTTGGTTTGATGACCCCAAGATTACTTTGTAGAGAGGAATAGCAAACTGTGCAGGCAACAATTAAGTCTGGTGACCTACTTCGAAATGTACCTACCAACACCTGAGAGAGGAGGCACCAGCACTTCCACTTTATGTGAAACTTTGAGTTCTGGTCTCTGCCTCCCAAACTATTTATAAATCAAATACTGTGGATTAAAGGAAGAGAGAAAAAGAATCAGACTAGGAATAAAGACCAGGTGCTAGAATTTTCTGCTCTTTACCAAGAATCTCAGCTACTATGGTATAGAGTCAGGCTCATTCTTTCTGTCTTTCTCTCTCTCTCTTTAGCCCAATGAATCTTGCTTTACTTTCTTCATAGAAACTTCCACAAGAAGGAGGAGAAACAAATCCCTTTTCTTCCACATTTTCTCCAACTATACCTAGGAGGTGGAAGAGGTGAATTTAATCTTTCCATGCAGAGAAGAGCTTGTGGTTCTCATGCAAATATTTTAGAACTAGCCCAACAGTGGCACCTCTACTTCATCTACATGAATTTTAAAAAGAATAGCCCAAATTACATTTTTATGTGCACCCATTCCTTTGGGCGTAGTTGGATGTTCTCTTCGATCTGTCCTTGGACATAAGCAGCAGATCACTTCATTTCTGCATCTTGACTCAATTTGGTATGAAATAGGCCTAGGACTGCTCAGATTAAAGCAGTTCTCAGCATAGACTCCACACGGCTTTGCAGCCTTGAAGGTGAGAGAAGTGCTTAATTAATGTAGCCATATCCAGGCTTAGACAGCGGCTAAGTAGGTATTGCATGGTTTGCAATTTGAGAATTAGAAAATCTAATCCCAAACAAATCTTAATTTAGGTGCTTTAGGATTCTGACTCATGATTAGGTCAGCTTACCCCAGGATGACTCATCTGCCACTTGAATTGCAATTGCTGATCCGCTAAAAACTGTAGTCTTGTGTATTAAGGGAAAACCAAAATCAGTACCATCCAAAGGCAAGCAGTCAAACCCCTTAGACCCTGTTTGGATCTAGACCTACTTCCCAAATGTCTATACCAGCTAGCATCGAATGGCATCTGTTTGTAGTATATCAGCACAGAAAAAGGTTTGAATGGAAATGAAGACTTAATTACCATCTTGTTCCTTTGTAAATTACCACACAATCTTGAGTTGATACACTTTCAAAGGATGACGTCACAAAACTTTCACGGATGCCATCAATGCTGTATATGTGGTCTGAGAGTAATGTCCAACTCAATCAGTATCAGTCTATCAGTCTATCAGCTTTCAAATGTACTTAGTTTATGTAGGAGGAAATGTTTGTGTTTGTTTTTTTTTTTTACAGTAAGATTTATCAAGCCAAATAAAAATATAAAGTTTTGCTGAATGTTTGAAATTTAGTGTTTGTTAAATTTTTATTACAATCTTAGCTAACTAAATTTCAAACGCCATAAAATAATTGCAATTTTAATTAGTGTTTTCTATTCTTGTTGCAGGAAATGACAGACAACCTAAGCAATGGTGGTCCACATCTGATTTATAATGGAAGTGTATATTAAGATATTTTAAAAAGTTCCATGGAAAGAAGTGGTTTTAGAATTTTCTTCAGGAAAAAAACAGACTCCAAGAAATTGAGAAAATGGAACTATCTTAGCTTTTATGGCTCAGATGTCACAACTGCAGAACAGCACAGTTACATTTCCCTTTTAGAAACATGTTCAAAATTTGTCTCCTAAACGTTTTGAGGATATACAGTATTTATTCACTTCTTGGCTACTCTCTTTTGGGTTTTTTTGGTTTGTTTTTTTTTTTTTTTTTGTCTGAATAACTTTTCAGAACTGTGATAGTATTTGAAATAGACTTCTCAAGATTCTTCTTCACATGAAGACTCAAAAAGAAAAAAATAATTAAACTGGACCACATTTAGCACAGTCACAGAATTCCTAAAGAGAAGAAGGCAGAGGAAGGATGGCTCAGGGGAATCTTTTTCTCCTCCCCACCTAGCAGCATCTGGTGTAATACGATGGCTTCAGATCATGTGGCATGGTACCACCAATGCATCTGCACAGTCCCCCTCCTCACATTGCAAATGCATCCAGTCTCAGTTTTCCCAGTAGGTTGTATCAAAAGAGAGTGCAAATTACTCTTCCAAAAGGCTCCCATTTCACATTCAGAGTGTAAATGAACAGTGTGCAGAAAACAACACCAATGTCTTTGTTTTGAAAGACAGAATGCTCTAAGAACGCCATAAATCAAAACCTCAACAATGCCTTGTTGTAAAGAAATTGTAAATATTTCCAATTTGTGAATGAAGTATATTTCGTAATTTGTTCATAAAAGATGACAAATAAAATGAAATCTAAACCAGAAATTTTAGAAGGATCTTTTGGGGTTTTTTCTTGTTAGAAAGATCTTGCAAAGCTGAACTGTCATGCTTGTAGTTTTGCCCAACACACTGAAAGGTTCCTAAAGGGGTGAAGCAAACTCAGAAAGGAGGAAAAAGAAGGCTGAACAGAGGCAAAGTCAAGGTCAGAACACGCTGGCAATTCTGTACACCCACAACAGAGTTTGGGGTCTGTTAGAGCAATATGTTAAGGCAGCAGCTTTAACTGACCTCAAACTTCATTGTAGGACACGCTGGCTCATATAGGCATGAAAAATGGAAGATGTAATTTGTAACAGAACATATATAGCATAATATTTATATAAAATATTCATATAAAATCACTCATGAGTTACATAGTGAGTCTATGGGTGTGCTGCAAAGTGCAGCACTTCAACACGAGTTTGGGCATCACGGATGACTGGCAATATTTGGTAATTTATACTCATGTTCTCAGACAAGTGTGAATAGAATCTTACTACTATTCAAGTTATGCCATAAAAACCTCTAGAAATTACATTAAATTGGTTTTTGACTCTATACGGTATAAAATAATATTCAATTCAATTACCTTAGGATTTTCTAGGTCTGTAAGGTAGTTTTCCATCTAATTACAATGTAGGAAACATCTTCACTGTGATTTAAGGCTCTCACTGAAACTCCATGCAAATTAGTTACTTTGATGGCTAAGCTTGTGAGTCAAAAACTGGTCCATCTTATAAGGCTTCTCTTCACTTATTCACTCTCTCAAAGGGCTTTTGAATCTTCTCTAAGTCCCTGATACACTAATATGTATTACGTATGTTAGTAATTGCTAATAAGACTGTTCAAGTTCATAAAGAATACAGATACTGTCATAGTAAAAGAATTAGATGTTAAGGCATCTCTGCTCAAGGGAAGTGCTCCCCTTCCCAGGTCCTACCAGCCCTCAGACTATCTCCCCTACTACATTCCAGCTTGTTTTGGCTCTTTATAGGTGACACTGCCTCTTCGGCTTGATGCTTGTCTTCCTCAGTGGCAGGAAACATGGGATATTTCTGTCCTCAGTATGTGGCCCTTCTGGGAACACTTTTGCTGCAGCTCTGGACACAACCTGTCAAGATAAGACTAGTGTCTAAATGGGCTGCAGAGTTTCATAGAGGCTCAGGAAATCCACACTCGACATAAGACCAGAGGAGGCGGTTCTGTAAGACTCCCTTCATCATTGCATCAGTACAAAGAGTGTAAAAGGGCCTTATCAAAGAACAGCAAGAGTAAAATAAAAAATCACTCAAAAATCCACCTCAAAACTACCTGACTGAGTTTCATCACTAGCTTTGAAGGACCACAGTAAAATTGCAGTTCATATAGAGGTATCTTGTGATACCTCAGGACTAGGAATTGTAGCTTCAGATCCTAGAGAGTGGTTTGGAGTTACAGCTCAGAGTCTGATCAACAATGACATGGAAGAACACACCATAACACTATCCATTTACTTATCACAAACACTTCATTTCCTGGCGTGGTAGTAAGAGTGCAGGTGCAGGTAGTAAGATGGTGCAGGTGAACAGGTGATTCTTCTATACCCAACACAGTAGTCAGTGCAACAGCCACTTTCTCATGCTTTGGAAAGGAAAAGTGGATACAATGTTTGAAGCCCTACTGTAATTTATGAAACACAACCACACCACTTCTGCTGCTTTTCAGGGAGTGTTCGAAGGAGAGAGAAGAGATCTGGGCCCCAGAGAACAAAAGATACAATTGTTTCAGGGTTTTTTTCCCTCTTTTGCTGCCAAGCCTGTAAAATGCATAAAAACTGGCTGGTTCCTGCATTAATAAAAGCCTTGAAAATGCAAAGCTGGAATTCAAAAGATTTAGAAACAAATGGGATGAAAAAGACTCCTCCTACCTGAGACATACAAAGAGGATCAGAATTCTTAAATTCAAAGTAAATTACCATAATATATGGATGTGGTAGGGGAACTGTGGGAAATGTTCCACTTCATTTAATGAAATTTCATGTCATAACTGCATCTAGAGTCCAACTGTAATGGAAATATTTTCTGTATGTTTTCATTACTGGCACAGTTGAAAGGACACTCATTCCACTTACCAACTTTATGAAAACCAAAACTTTCATTTTCAGAATGTGACCAGCCAACATGTCTACACCAATAGCTTGAAGGCTGGGCACCAAAATCCATTTTAATCTAAATGCGATGAAGCATATATTGTCCTTGACTCAGTTATTTCTGATTCATGCTGCTGTAAAAGCAGATGCTGGCTCAGATTCTCTCAGAGATATTCAGCTGTTATTTACTAGGTCAAGCAACACTCTTCCTGAAGAGGGTTACCTATTGAACTTTGTGCATAGGACTTAGCTGATAAGTCCTTAACGTATGTTTTAATATTTTAGACTACATTTTAGGTTATGCTTGGCATTTCATAGAACCTTAGCTTATGAGAAACAGACGTATGTTTTAAATTTACAACAATCAACAGTTTTTATTGCAAACTGTTCAGAAAAGTGCATATAATGTGTTTTGAATCTTTGTCTTGCACAATGTTCAATATATATTTGTTGCATTAGGACACATGAATTTTCCATCACATGGTCTGGAGAGATACGAAAGACAGTGGAGCAGGTCAGATTCAACAGGAAATTTATATGCAGTAAGCCATAATCACAAATAGTCATACCGAAATTTTCCTTGAGAGCATGATTTTGAAGATAGAAGCAAAAGAGACTATTAACAGTTTAAGCTATTTTTAATCCTTTCAAATCCCAGTCCCAGTCAAGTGAAGGAGTTAAAAGGACCCTTTAATAATTAAAAGCTTAGAAATATTTAAAAGCAGACAGATATTAGACTACCATATTGTTGCAGATATTACTGCCTATTATCTTTCTGCCTAAAATGATTCCAGCTAACTTTCCCTTCCTGTATCAAAGTGACATCTTGAGCTCCACTACAAACCTCCAAGTTCCACAAGGCTGTTGCACAGGCACTGGAGACAGATTTTGAAGAATATTTTTAGACCTTGTACAAGGGCTAGTCAGACAGACTCACAGTCTCTGGAGGTGGGAGGGGGGTGGCAAAAAAGAAAAAGAGAAAAAAGCAGAATGTTTTTGGTAAAACATAATGTGATTGGAGTGCAGATGCTAAACCCACTCTATTTTAATATCATCAGCCTGAGGAACTCTAAGTGAACTTGGGAAGGTTGCTCAGGAAGGCCTTTTTTCCCCCTAATTATAAAACTATGAAAATGTGATTTAATGTTCTGAAGCAAAAGAGGGAACTGGGTGAGATGAACCAGTAGCTGGAATTTCAGCAGAAAGTTGTGTGCCTGGAGAGACTTGTTTGGCTGTGAAAGCATTGTTCTGCTTCAGAAACAAGCAGCTTTGATTTGGAGCAAAAAGTCCAGAGGGCCGCACCAAGATCTTTCTTGTCATTTCTCTACAAAGCCATCAAAGAAACACTGAAGACACAGGACAGACATACCCAGTTCTGCCAGGCAACTAACAACACGCTGTGCAGAGCAGCCTCACAATTGCTCTGTGGTTCCCTCAAATGAGTCCTGCGCATGTATAGAATTGGCAGTTTGGTTTTTTTCCCCCTTACATTACATTTGATTTGCTGTAAGGTATCTTTTATGTCCTTTAACCACTGAGTCACAGCAGGTTGCTTTAATGATTACCGCATCAGTGTAATTTTGCTTTGAAATCAGTAGAAGGTTGGAGTTTTTTCCCAAACATCCTTTCTGAAATCCAGTTTTAATCCTGCCATAAACTGTAAAATGTGTCTTTCTAAAAACATGTGCAGTTACGGCATGTTGAACAGGTTGACCACATAAATTAATTAAAAATAACTCTACGTCCATGAAAATAGCTATTTTGATGAACTGCCATAATGTGCAATGGGAACACGCTAGTAAGGGAGGCAGGAAGAGGGACCACAAGCACAACTGAAAAAGCCTGGAACTGCAGAGTGTCACTACAGTGCTGGATATAATTTCTCTGATATAAACCAGGTATACAAATCAACAAAACTTCTCTTTGTACTCTAAGAAAGCAGACACAGATTTAAAAGGAGCTAAGAGCTGTTAGGATTTCCTGCCCTCTTTCTCACATCTCATTACTAGTAGCTAGTGTGAGACAAATGAAATGATGTAACTGGGACCACAAACTTGTGCAGATCCTCTCCCACATCATTAGGTGAACCCTTTTTTCTCTCCCTCCCACTTCACGCTGATTCAAACTAGGAGATTATGTCTTGTATCTTCTCTTATTTCTGCTGTTAAAATACAGCTGTATCATTTAAAGTATTTAGTATTGAAGAAATTCTTACCTTCCCTGCCCAGAGAAAACAAACACAGATCACTGCCTTCATTTTACGGTGAGATTGCAAACGAAGCAAATCTCAAGCAAATCATGAAGTCCAAGCACCCAGACTGACAGTATTAAATTCCTGTGGTTTGCTACA